AAAGCGGACGCTACCACGCGGGCCGCGGAGGGGGGTTCGGCGGCGCGGAACGGTACGCCGACGCCTCCCCGCTGGGGTTCCGGGAACCCGGCACTTCCGTTCGGAAAGGAAGGGCGAGCTGAAGCCGAGTAAGGAGCGGAGGCCGTGCGAGGTCGGCGGTAACCGGCATGCGGCCGAGCGCTTTCACAGAAACGAGCCTCCTCTTCCGCCCGCTGGAATGGAAGCGTCCGCGGGCGGGGAGCCCCGAGACAGTGCCAGCGCCGCGGCCCCGGGCACACGTGTGTGTCCGAGCGGAAGGCGGCGTCCGCGCGCGCGCGTGAGTGTCGGTGTGAACGCGGCGTGGTGAGGGCGCCCGCCCCCCGACCCCTTCGGCGGGATGTGTCGCGTTAAACGAGTCAGCACGATAAAGCACCGACTGTGCGCCGGGGCGGTGGTGAATACGACAGCGTCCCTTTCCTCAAGGGTGTTTTGCTCAGGCAAAGGGGGCAGAAGGAGGCAAGAGAAATCATACCTTAAAGCTCTACAGGGTAGATTAGGATCAATGCCACAAGATGCCACGAGCTTGGCGACAGAGGTTATATAGCAGGCCTGGGGTTTCTAGAAGGTTTATGAGAAGAGTTCGCATTTGAGTTGGGCCATGACGTGGAGGTCTAGAATTTAGACATGCGGAATTTGGGAGAGGAGTGGTGGTAATTTACACACGAAGGAAGGAAACCAGCAGAAAGCCCTGGGTGTATTTGGGGAAACAATTCCTCTTAGTTAATGCTTGGATAGTTTTTATTGTGGAAGGCAGAGATTACACTAGACAGTCTGGCGGGAAACAGTAACTGATGTTCTAGGAGATGGGCAGGGAGATGATGGGGCCCCGCTTTCATTGGAGGTCATGTATCTCTGGCACACAAAAAGGAAGGAGAGAGTAGACCCGCTGAGATGAAAGATTTTCTAGACCTGCCTCTGGTGCTGGAAAAATATGCATGGAAGAAGCATCTCATAGGTCAGGGAGGAAATGATGACCAAACAGGAATGGAAGTGGGGTGAGGGTGAGGGTGAGGGTGAGGGTACCCAAGACTGGATACCTCCCAGGATGATTTAGGAGCTAGAAATGTTTTCTTGTTGGTTTCCCCATGATTTTGCTGATTCTCCTATCTTGTGGAATTGGATGCTTTTCATTACCAGGGATATTCAAAATATTTTCAGACCTGGGTTGTATACCTAACACCCAGAAGGTGTGGATGAGTCAGCTGGCGCAGGGTGAGCACAATTCCTGGGAGACAGCTCCTTGGCAAATCAATAATCCCTCTCAGTCTCAGTTTCCTTATCTATGAACAGGTAGAAGCATACCTTAGTCATTCCGTGAAGCATACCTTAGTCATTCCGTGAAGCAAAAGGTACTCATAAACTTAGTCCATAAAAGGTGTTTTGCAAATACAGGCATACCTTATTTTATTGTGCTTCACAGATGTTGCTTTTTTTAAAAATTTTTTTTTTAACAAATTAAAAGCAAGACCCTCCACCGGCAAAAAAGATTAAGACTTGCTTTACTGCAGTGGTCTGAAACCAAACACGCAGTATCTCCAAAGTAGGCTCATATAGCAGTAGGTTAAGTCAGAATCTAGGTGATGGGTATATGGGTGTTTAGTTACAATTTTTTTTCTTTTCTATATGTTTGGAAATATTTGTAATAAAGTATTGGGGGGAAAGTACTTTGAAAAATTAAAAGTGCTGTTCAAATATAAACATTATTAAAAGGGATTCAAAGAGCATGCTATTCTGAAAGTAGGTTGGTAGTTTTATATTTGTTATATATTTAACACTGTATGCTTTAAGCAATCAGAAAAATATAAAGTGTATTCACTTCAAAAATGTATTTAGTAAACATTAATGCAGTACATACTACGTACTGGGTTCTACATGAAACCATACAAAAATGAATTGAACAAAGTCTGTTCACAGTCTAGTGGGTGTATAAACACAAATACTTATAATACTTGATAATAAAGATAGAATCGTGATATGAACAAGGTACTGTGGAAACACGGAAGAGGAAGTACTTACTTGCCTAGTGAAGCCAGGAGAGGCTTTTTGGACAAGGTGAATTCCAAGCAGAGAGGGAATGAGGGAGGGTATCCACCAAGGGAACAGCAAGGCGGGGAGAAGTGGGCATTCCGGGAACATTAATTGCCACACTTGATAAGGCCCGAGTGCAAGGTGCCCATAAGGGCATGGCAGGAGCGGAGACAGAAGCCGCGGGCGAGAATGAACTCATGAAGGGTTTTCAGAGGACTTTGAACTTTATCCCGAAGGTTCTGGGGAACCTTTGAAAGACTAAGCAGATAGGTTGCACTGTCAGGGTTACTTTTTTGAAAGATTGTTCTGTCTGCTATTTTGAAAGAAGATGGGTTGGAGACCGGGGTGGGATAAGAACAGGCAGGCGGGCAGAGGACGTGCTGTTCTGAATCTCTGGAGGAGGAGCAAGGCATGCCTGCGCTTTCAGAAAGACACCCAGGCAGGTGATCCTGACGACATACCTCTTTCTCAATGCTGCCTCCCAAACAAATGAACTGGAGGCAGTGAAGGTGGAAGAGAGCCGGATTTCAGAACTGCGAAGGAGGCAGAACAGGCAGATTAAACCTAGCGGGTGAGGGAAGGGTGCACGGTCGAGGGATGACTTGGTGACTGGTGGATAACAGTGCCCAATGAGAACCGGTGCAGATGGCTTTCTCCAAGGAGGACACTGAGTGAAGATGGGAACA